AAAAAAAAAATTTAAATAGATCAACCCACATTTTGCAGAATTACTGTGGCCACAACAGCTCCCTCCTCTCCGTGTCCTCACCCAACCCAAGGCCAGAGTACCCGAGGTAAAAAAAAACTGCACTGGGGAGACACCACCACAAAGAAGAAGCCACCAAGAGGTGCCACCTGTCACCTCTGTGTCCTTCCTGCCTCCAAAAACAAGGTGAGCAGCAGCCCAAAGAAGCAAGGAGCAGGAATTCCCCTCCTCTCCAGAAGAGCTGTTTTGTATTTGTCGAATTTTCCCAACCAGGTGGAGTGGGTGTCCAGCCTTGCCAGCAGCTGCTCTCCCAAACTTCCCAGCAAGTCTGTGGTGGTTTATTTGGGGTTGTTGGTTTGTTTTTTCGGTGTTTTTTGAGGTTTTTTTTTGCCCAGGATTATAGCTGGAATCCTTCCATGGGAGCCTCGGATTGCTGGAAGATGTATTGCTGCTGGTTCTCGTCCACCTGGGGAGCCACGCCCGCGTCGTCCTCCACCCCAAAGTAGTGCTCAATCAAATCAAAAGCTTTCTGGTAAATCTCCTGGTTCTCGTGGCTTTGCAGGAATTCTATCTTGTCCAAACCTTTGGAGGAAAGAGAAAAAAAAAAAAAAAAAAGAGAGAAAAAAAAAGGGTGGGATTAAACAATGAAATCCACTCTCCGTCCTCAAAAAGGATTCTGTGAGAATTGACATTGCAATCCAATTATTCCAAAGGCCTGCCAGGCAAGTTTAGCTCATCCAGATGTGCTCCCAGCTGCAGGCTAATCCCAGATTCCGGTGGAATTTGGTAGCTGCAGGGGGTAGGGAGGAGCAGGGCCTGTCCCAGGAGCCTCCAGCTCTCCCTGCCCCAATTAAATGCACTGCTGCACAGAAAGCATCCGTGCACAACACACCCTCAGGAATTCCAGGAATTATCCTTCCAGGGACAATCAGGACACTCAGAGTAATGAGAGGGCAAAGCAGACACTGGCAGCTCACAGGGAGTTTCAGACCAAAAGAGGAATTTGCTCCTCCTCAAAGCAGGACAGAAAAATAATTAAAAAAAAAAAAAAAAAAATTCATCAGCACCAAATTAAGTCACTCCAGGGAAAAGCAAGGTCTCCCTGGATTTCCAGTGTAAAACTGGGTACAGCCAGAGCAATTTTAAATTCAAAACTGACACTTTTTACTTAGCTCAGCTCATTTCTGGTTAATCTTCCCACCTGGTGCAAGCCACGATTTTCAGCTTGGACTCCAGGTCAGAGCTTTCACTTCCAAGTATTTTTCCTCATCACTCACCAAGTGAGTTTGAAAAGATTTTGGAACAAATATTGGCTGGTTTAGAATATAAAAAACCTTTCAACAGAGCAGAAAAGCAGCCCAGGGACCCCTGCAGTGCCCAAACCCCCACCTACCATAGGCCTCCTCGATCAGGCTGCAGTAGGGGTTGATCCCAGTCCCACTCTGGTTGGCTTCCTGCTCTCCCAGCCTCAGGATGTTTTCCAGCCCGTTCAATGCCACCAGAACAATCTTGGAGTCCATGACAGTCAGCAGGTCACACAGAGGTTTGATACAGCCCAAATTCACCAGGTACCTGCAGAGAGGGAGCAGCACCCACATCACTGCAGTGCTCAGGAGCTGGGGAGCATCACCTCTGCTCCACGGGAAAGCAAAGGTGATCAATTTCTGGATTTCAGTTGGATTTAATCTTAAAATACACATTTACAGATCTGCAACGTTAATTTTGATCCATTTATTTGCATTTGTACACAGCCCTATTTTCAGAAATCTCATTTAAGGAAAAGAGCCACTTTTGAAATCCAGGTGCTGCTCAAACTAAATCCACACTGGAATTTAATCTGTCATTAAGTTTGGACATTTAACCTCAACTATCCAAAGAGAGATTGATAAAATTTGGGATTAGATTATCCACATCCAGAAGGAAATTACAAATCCTGTCTCAGTTACTTTCCAGAATTTCTCCAAATTTTGCCTGCAATGTTTGAAATTTCCCTCAAGGCAAAACTCAAATGAAGGTTTTGAAATCCAGGTGCTGCTCAAATTAAATCCACACTGGAATTTAATTTGGTTTGGGATTAGATTATCCTCATGCAGAAGGAAATTACAAATTACAATCCAGCTCTGCCCGTCTTCAGAATTTCTCCAAATTTTGCCTGGAATGTTTGAAATTCTCCTGAAGGCAAAGCTCCCAGGAATTGGAGCCAGATGCTCAGGGAATACCTGATCTGCTCGGGGGTCCCTCCTGACGTGGCATTGGTGATGGCCCACGCTGCCTCTTTCCTCGTACGGAATTCTGCTTTCTGCAGGATTTCAATCAGCACTGGGAAAATGTTGGCATCTATGACTGCCTGGGAAGAGAGGGCAGGGAGAGGGGCTTGGCATTGGTAGCACTTCCCAAAAAAAAAAAAAAAATTCCCAGCTCCTGAAAGGAAACTCCACCTCCATATCCCATGAAGAACTTCCCAAGCTGCACCCTGCAGTGATTGCTGTGGTTTATTCCTCAGCAAATCCTATTAAAGGCAGATATTCCCTAACCAGCACAGCAGACAATCCCTGGAATTGCATCAATACTGTGGGAATGATGAAAGCTCTGCTTCCCTATGTAGGTCAGGAAAAGGATAATTAAACCTCAGCGAGCTCCAGCTCTTCAAAGGGATTGAGGATGGAGAAATAGGGGCTGTATATCCTCTAATCCCAATGATTCCAGACTCTGGGATTCAGTCCATGTGCTGCTGCCATTCCCAATTTCCATCCCCAGTTTTTAGCTCGTTTGGCAGCAGCAAATTTGCAGAAGACTGCAGAATGAGAGATGTGAACCAATCCAGCCTTTAAGGGTCAGGGAAAAAAAAAAACAAAAAAAACCTGCAAATCCTTAATGCTGATCTTGGAATGTGGGATCACTGCAGGCAGGCTGTACCTGGATTTGTGCTCTGTTCCCTGCTGTGATGTTGGATATGGTCCAGCACGCCTCTTTCCTGATGGATTCCTTGGGACTGCTCAATAAATGGAGGAGGCAAGGCAGGGCTGAGCAGTTTAGGATCACCTTTGGTGGGGGAAAAGGAAGCACAAAGTGAGATGACCAGTGCCAGGCACTGCATTCCCTGCAGGAAATTCCTCTCCTCTCACCTGGGTCTGGATGTCATCCCCTGTCACGATGTTGCCAACTGCTCGAAGAGCTGGAGAGGCCACTTTGTAATCGTTGTGCCTGCAGGAAAATTGTGCAAAAGACAAACCCAACTCCATCAGATCGCTGGGATATTCACAATGTTCCCTCCCCATTATCCCACCTGCACCATTTCCTTAGGATTCCACCCTCTGCCATACAGAACACAGGGTGAGAGGAGCATATTGCCACTGAAAACAAAGCTGGAACACAGTTGGATCCTTTACATCCCAACCCCATCCCCTTTTCCATACAGATTTTGGAGAAACAAAGCCAAGCTGATTTCTCCTGGCCATTATTCTTTGATTTGCCTCATAACCAGGCTTCCATTGGAAGTTTGAGAGCACACAACACTCTGCAATCATTAAGGAAATCTGGGAAAGGAGAGAGAAAGTTCTTCCCAGTTGTCTGTGCAGTTGGCCCACACTCAAAAAAAAAAAGGTTGAATTTCAGAAATTTATAGGGATAATGTTCCTTTTATCAGTGAATTTGTAACTTTTGGAGCAGATGCTGAGAGTAGAACTGGAAAAAACCTTCATCTCAGGAAGAGAAGGCAGCAAATTCCAGCTTTGAAGCTGCTCCAGATCCTGCCTGGATCCCGTGTGCACGGGAGCTGTGGAGTGCTCTGATGGGATTTAGATGGATTCTCGCTCAGTCTCCTGACACATACTCACATTAAGAGCTCCACCAGCCTCCTGCACACCCCTGAGTCCACCACAGCCTGGATCTTCTCGTTGGGACCATCAGACAGGTAGGACAGAGCCCAGCACGCATCTGCCAGCAGGTCAGAGTCACTGTTGAACAACAATCGGGACAACACTGGCAGGCAGGGAGACACCTGCAACAACAGCCACCAGCCAGGGTTAGTCACCAGGCCAGGACCACCCACACCTGCAGGAAAACACCTCCTGACTGCTCAGATAAAATCCTGGATCCCTTCTCCCACTCAGCAGCTTCCCACAGCTCCAAAGCCACCTCAACAGCTTTGTTGCTGCACTCAAATTACACCGAGGAGCTACAGTGAGCTTTTGGGAATTCCTGTAAAAAGAGCTCTGCTCCATTTCTGACTCTTAATATTCAGACCAAGCTCACCTCAGTCATTTATAAGCAGTTTTATATTGGCACTCAATTCAGATTTCACCCCTCACCACAGGTTTCCTAGCTTTGATATGTGAGGTTTCACTTTAAAAAGGTGAGAACACGCTGATTTAAAACATTTTTGTGTTGCCAAAGGAAGATGAGATACCCAAAAAGGCAGCAGCACCTTTAGTGAGGTTCCCTGGACAGGCAAAGAGAAAATAGCTCACAGGAGTCCTGGTTTTTAGCATCTCCAGGTCTCAGAATAGTTGTTGGTCATAAGTGAAGTCTCAAAATTCCAGAGTTGATAAGAAAATGGTTTAGAGAAACTTTCTAGGGAAGCCTAGGCCTGTCCCTTATTTGAAGGGTCCAGCAGAAAGGTTTGGAAAAATTAAACATCCAGATCAACCTCAGCAGGAAAAACCTCACCCTCCTAGAGTTCAAATCCCAAAATAACCCAGAAAAAACATTTTAACTGTGTGTGTCCCCATCAGCTGGCTGCCAATAAGGTATTTCTTCTCACCTTATCAAATTCAGGAGGTGGACTCTTCCCTCTGCACAGGTTTGACAAGGCCCAGACAGCATTTCGTGTCATTGTCAGCCTGGTGGACGTGGTGAGGAGCCTGGAGAGAGAATTACCAGAGATTATTGTGCTTGATGTGGGAGCAGAGGGAACAAAAAAAAAATTAAAACTGAAACATTCAGCTCCAGTTCAGCCCAGGCAAACAGTCCCAACCATCAGCAGGGACCAAAGGACAGGAACTGCTCAGCCTGAGCTCAGAGTGTCCATCTGGGACAAAGCTTCACTCTTCTTTTCCATTTCATTTTCAATGAAGATTATCAGAGTCCAGGCCTGACAGATCTAGGTTATCACCACACTGAGGTGAGAGACCTGATCCTACTCCAACCCCCCAAAAAATCCACAGCCCAAGCAGAGAGCAGGAGCTGAGGGACTCCCTGTGACTCCAGAAGGGCCAGCACCTGCCTCAGCCCCAGAGCAGAGTGAAGGAACGTTATCCACAGAATCCTGAACCTGAGGTTTGATTCCCAGGGATCCCAGCAATACCAGGAAATCTAGAAAGAATTTTATCCACAGAATCCCACTCTGATCCAGAGATTTGATTCCCAGGAAATTTGGAAGGAATGTTATCCACAAATTCCCACTCTGAAGCAGAGGTTTGATTCCCAGGGATCCCACACTGCCAGAGAATCTGGAAGGAATTTTACAACAAATCCCAATCCTCTGAACCAGAAGTTTGATTCCCAGGGAATCTGGAAGGAATTTTATCCACAGAATCCCACTCTGAGATCCAGAGATTTGATTCCCAGGGAATCTGGAAGGAATTTTATCCACAGAATCCCACTCTGATCCAGAGATTTGATTCCCAGGCATCTCTCACTGCCAGAGAATCTTTAAGAAATTTTACAGATTCCCACTCTGAAGCAGAGGTTTGATTCCCAGGAAATCTGGAAGGAATTTTATCCACAAAATCCCACTGTGAAGCAGAGTTTGATTCCCAGGGAATGTGTGGGCACAGCTCCAGCACTGCTGCCCTGGTGCAATGGGACTCCCAGAGCTGCCCCTGGCTACTCACATTAATAAGGGAGGAAGAATGGCACAGTTTAGGACATAATCTCTGCACACAGAGCTGTCCCCAGCAATGTTCCCCAACGCCCAGACAGCCTGAAAGGAAACAGCAACACTTTTAACATCCAGTTTCTGTCAGGGAGAAATAAGCAGTGTGCTGAGAAAGGAATTTTTCTGTAATTTCAGGCAGAAATCTGTGCTCTGCAGCCAGCTGGGATCACTCAATTTAAACACTGCATTTTTAACATTAACATTTTAACATTAATAATTTAACATTGAACATTTTTAACCCAAAATCCCGAACTGAAAAGCGATCCTTACCTGCTCCTGAACATCCTCAAAATCAGAATTTAAGAGCTCTATAAATATGGGAACTGCCCCAGCCTCGATGACAATTTTGGTTTGTTGGGAAGTCCCCGAGGCAATGTTGGTCAGGGCCCAGGCAGCCTCAAACTGAAAGGAGTGACAAACAGGAATAAAACCAAACTATTTCAGCAAAACACATCTCATTACATTCTGGCTACAATTCTGCTACAAAGAGAGAAAGAGGACACCTCAGTGCTCAGAGGATTTTATTTTCTTGAGCAATAAAAGAGCTACAGGTGCTCAAAGGATAAGCATGAGATGTCACCACCATGTCACTTCTCCTCCATAATCATTTCCCAGCAAGAAAAGTGAAGACATACAGAGTGTAGGAACACACAAAATAGAAAATTTTCTCTATTTCATCCAATATCCCAAAGAATCTGCGAGTTCAAGTGAAGATGAGCAGAAATTCCCTGCTTTTAATTCTATTTTTTTTTTGGTTTAAAACCAGATTTCCATCCAGTTCTTCACAAATTAAGCTCCTCTGGTCCATGGGAGAAAGAGGAAAGCAATCATCAACTCGGATCAAATTCCATGTATGGAAATCTCTTTAACCCCCTCCAAAGAAACCAGGACTTATTACCAAGCTGGAAGGAATCTCAGGAAGCCACCCAGGCCTTGCCTCTGCCCCAGGCAGGATCAGCACTGGCCAAAGCCATTTCTAACATTTCTTGGCCTCTGCTTAAAAGCCTCCAGCAATGGAGGTTTTATTTCACACAATTTCTTCCTGCAGGTTTGTCCCATAACTTCACCAGCTCCCAGCAGAAATATCAGCTACAGAAAGGCCAAAATCTCTTCTGCTGCAGCTGAATTAGGTGATTTTTTTTCCAGTATTCTTCCAGGATTTAAATTCAGAGCAATTTACATTTTTTTTTTCCTGAGCATTACAGATTAATTTTGTCTGCTCCTAGAGATCACACAATCTGCATTTTTGGGGTTCAAAATATCATTTTCTCCTGATGCACCTGTGGGTTTCACAGTTTAAACAGCTCTATACCCTGAAGAATTCATAACAGAATCTCCTTTACCTGTAATGTGCAATTTTCACTTCTTTTCAGGAATTCCACGAATCTCTCCACCACTCCCTGAGTGTTTATCACCTCATCTATTGGAGGATTTGGCTCTGGAACAGCAAGGCAGTGTCAGGGAAGTGAACAGACCTCAAGGAGGGGAGTAACAAGCCTGAAGTGTTAATTAAATTATCTCAAACTGGACTGAACTCATTGATGCAGCTTGGCAAAATCATTTTCTGTACAATTCACACAACTGGCAATCATCAGCAATACAAAAAGATTATCACATTTCTAAATTATGGATTCTTTTTCCCAAGCTGCAAATCTTTTGTGCACAAAGCCCTGTAAAAAAGCAGGCTCTGTTGGATCCTGGGGTGGGGATGAATTATTTTTACCTTTGGAGAGTAATTTCCTGAATTTCTGAGTGGTTGCTAGCTGTAGGTCAGGGTCATCTGAGAAAAGCATCTCTACCATCTCTCCTGTGATCAACCCCTCCTGAGAAGATGCAGAGGAGAAGAGAGAAATGGTTCCATTTCACACTGAAATGAATGATTTCAGCCATCACACACAGGACACCCTGCCACGATTTGGGCTTAGCCAGGAATCCAAGGATTCCAAACTGGGGATCCCAGCACAGCTCTGACTTCCTGGCAGACTCCCCCAGTTCACATCTGCAGTGCTGGTGGGGGAATGGGATAAAAGGGGAGGACACTGGAGGAGGATTTTGAACATGCAGCTGGGAATAACCCTGGATAAAGCAGAGTGAGCAGCAGGATGGGGATTCCCTGGCATGGGCTGAGCTTTACAGGGCTCATGGCACCACTGGTGTCCCTCTGCATCCCTTAGGAATATATTTCCCCCCCTTAGGAATAAATTTCCTCTTGGTATTTTAAGGGTTTGTGGCTGTTCCAGCTGCACTTGCACAAACATTCTTGAAAGTAAGGGAATAAAAATATTGGAGTTTGGCAGTTCCATGCAATCACAGGATGCCAGGATGGTTTGGGTTGGAAGGAGGTTTGCCAAGGGCAGGGACACCTTCTACTACCCCAGGGGTGCTCCAACCCCCATCCAATCTGGGATAAATTCCAGGGATGGGGCAGCCACAGCTTCTCTGGGAATCTCTGCAGGGCCTCACCACCCCAAAAAAGGATTAAATGTGTCTGAAGGCACCTCACCCCACACGTTGTGGAAGTGACATAGGAATCCACCAGGAGACTGTCAAACATGGAGTCATCCTCATTGATCAGCTCCACATTCCTTCTTTTGAAGAGCTGGTGGGGACCAAAGCACAGGGATTGTTATTAGAAAGCAAGGATGAACAGGCTCCACAACTGGACATTCTTGTTCCTCAACCAAGATCCTTCCTGGAGTGCAGGTAACCCGAGTAAAAATGGTCATTAACAGCAGCTCTGCACTCTCAGGGCCAGCCTGGCACACAAATTCTTGATGTCAGAGATGCAAATGCCCAAATCACTGAGCCAACCAGGCAGGCAAAGGCAGAATTTGACCAAAATCAGAAAAAAGCAGCTTGGATAAGGTGCTAATAAAGTAAATGTTTAGTTCCACATGTATCACATCGTGCTTCCAAAAATAAAATACACTCGGGTTAAACTTTCACTTGTTCTTCATCTTTCTACAGGAAGTTATCCCATTCATTAATTACATCTTTAAAAAAAAACACCACCACCTTTAAAAATCAAGGATCTGTCAACAGAAAAAAAAACCAAAAAACCTCAAGTAGCCCAAGAAAACAAAATGCTTGGAAAGCTTTCCATGTGAGCTGGGTCCAGAGAAAAAAAGAGAAAAAAAAAGTGAGGAAAAAGTGGAAAAAAAAAAAAAAAGCAAGATCTCAGTTAAACAGAAAAAATAATGCACAGATTCCAGGCAGGCAAGTGCAGAACTTGACCAAAATCAGGGTAAAAAGCAGTTTGGATAAGGTGCTAATAAAGCAAATATTTAGTTCCACATGTATCACGTGGGAATCACATCGTGCTTCCAAAAATAAAATACACTCAGGCCAAACTTTCACTTGCTCTTCCTTTTTCTCCAGGAAATAATCCCATTCACTAATTATATAGAAAAAAAAAAACACCACCACCTTTAAAAACAAGGATCTGTCAACAGAAAAAAAAAAAAAAAAAAAAACCAAACAAAAATCTCGATTAAGCCCAAGAAAACAAAATGCTTGGAAAGCTTTCCATGTGAGCTTGGTCCGGAGGGGAAAAAAAACAAAAAGAAAAATGGAAAAAAAATGGAAAAAAAAAGCAAGATGTCAGTTAGACCAGAAAAAACGACTGCCTAACTTGAATGCACAGATCCTTGAAGGTCCCAGGCAGGCAGCAGCAGAGGCTGGGCTGTGTGGAGGTTGGGCAGAAGCTCCTCAGGGGGGCAGGTACCTGCTGCTCTCGTTTCTGTTTGCGAAGCTGAATCCCCTCCTCTTCCCTCCTCCGGCGCATTTCTTCAGGATTTAGGGCTTTGTTCTTGTAGCTCTTCATTCGATAGTTTTCTGTGAAAACAGGAGGAATTGTGACTCAGGGTTCTTTGTCACTGCTCCTCTGTGTGCCTTTCATGTGCACATGGCATGGGATAAGCAGGTAAAATATATTTATTTACTCTGAGTGGCTTTGGTTTTCAGTAGGAATTTTTATTTCTCTGTTATCAGCACAACAGTTTTGTTTTTTTTTTCCCCCCAGAGAGCAAAAACCCAACAGAATGAAAGGCACTGAGTTAATAATAACAGGGCAGAGTTGTAGGTGAGGGACAGGATCCACGGGGCAAAACTCAGGATCTGATCCTGCTGCTGCTTCAGAGCTGAAAATGCAGCAATTCCAATTCCTTCAGATTTTCCCTCCCAGCCAGGAAAGGGACACTCCAGGTACCAGGACCAAGCTGGAACTGAATTAGGGATGAATGGAAACCCCTCACTGCTCCACAGCTGCTTTGGGTATGGCAAAAACTCCCCAAATTCTCCCGTTTCTGACATTATTTCCACATCTTGTGCCTTTTTGTGGATAAATCTCAGAGCCCTGAGCCAAGTTACTCCTCCAGAACTCATTGAAAACCGATGTTTTGGGGTTTTTCCCAGCTGCTAAGGTGGGAGTTTGTGGAAGTTTGCAGTTTTATCTCCTCCTTATTTCATGCCTGAGGCACCCTCAGCCCTGTGGCTCACACAAAGTTTCACTTATCAACAACCTCCAGCCACTCTGGAGCCCTTCCAAGACCAGCTGGAGAAGTGTCAGACCCAAAAGTCCACAGCCAACCCAAGAAAAAACATCGACTAAGTACAAATATCCAGCTTTCATTACTAGGGAGAGAGAAAACAACTGGGAAAAAAAAAATAATGTTTTAACAGGAGAAAGAACAAAATACTTCCAGTTCTATGATTTCCCAAAAGCAGCTAAAAAGACACCAAAAAAAAGAGAGAAATCTACAGGTTTTAGGGGTTTATATCTGACCACACAATAGCCAGGTGTCACCTAGATATAGATATTAATTCAGAAAATGTATTTAAACATCACTGTGATGTTTTTATTTATATTCCCACCCCATGCAGCCACACAGAAGAATTGACAGCTTAGCTCTCCAAACAATTTCAGAATCTTAATCCTCTTTTTTTGGAAAGCAAAGCCTCCAGTTCAAAGGTGGTTTTGAAGGAAAGGAGGGAAGGAAAAGTGAGGATACACAGGATTACCAGGCAGTCACAGAAATAGCCAAGGGACACATGACAGTTCAGCTGTGCCACACTCAGGAACACTCAGCACCTCGTCCTTTAAGGGTTTGGTTTATTTTTTTGTCCCAGAGAATCAAGAACTGTCACCCCCAAGATAATTCTTCAGGGCTGATTGTCACAAAATTCTCTGGTTTTAGATGATTTTCATTGATTTCTCCCGGCCCCATCATCTCTGGCAATGTTTCAATGGCACAAAAATGCTGATTTGGGACATTCCACCCCATTTCCATGGCAATGGGGGTGAGAAATGCAGGATCAGGAGCTCACACTGAGCTCCAGACTGCAGCAGGACCAAACCGATGGAATAAAACACAGCAGGACAAATCCCGGGCTTGGAATGTTTCAGTACCAAACATCCAATTTGTGTTAATTCTAAACTCCAGTTCCATCTGTGGCAATCATTAATCAGGATCTGGGAGTACCTGGGCTGTCAGCAATGGGGAAGGAATCCTAAATCAGAGATTCCAGGCACAGATTTTTCATTTAACTCAGGGAAGATTTGCTTTTACAGAAGTGCCAGTGGACACTGAACTCAGAAACTCAGAGAGTTCACTCAAGAAAACAACAAATCTTGCAAGATTCATTCCATTTTAAAAAGTTTTGATCCAGCTTGGATAAAACATCCCTTCTGCTTTAGAGGAATCCCACAGCTCCCCAAGTTTTGTGTTTTGTATATCCCTGGATTAGTCAAGTTCATTCATAGCTCTAGAAAAAAAATAATTTAAAAAAACAACTTAAAAAAAAAAAAAAAATCAGTATTTACATTCCAAACTTAAGGATGAAACTGAACTGAACAACACCTTCCCAATTTCCTGTGCAAAGGAAAGCCCCTCAGGAGCTGGAAGAAATTTGGCACCTCTTGGTTTCACTGAGGGCAAAAAAAAAAAATAATCCTCCAGTTGTCAAGGAATTATGAGACCAAGTTGCCACACTCATAAATTGGAGGGTGAGAAGATATTTCCCATTTAAAAGAAAGGAAAAAAGTGAAAGTTTGCCTTTAAAGGCTCAGCAGGGCACTCGTGCAATTCCAGAATCGTTACTGTAACAGCTTCTGCATGTTCCTGGATCAGAAATCCAACCCTACCTCTTCCCAATTCCCTGAAAAAAAAGACCAAAAAAATGCATTTATTTGCTTCCAGCGTTTTATTCAGCTGCTGCTGAAAGCCTGGGAGCTGAGTCACTGCAGGATTTGTGCTGCTGAGTCAGGGCCAAGGCACAAGAGCTCGAACTGCCAGACCTGACACGGCTCTTTTGGAGCCAAAATTCCCTTTCCCACAAGGGAATATTCCACAGGGAATCTTCCAAAGGTGGCCGTGAACACTCCCAGGACAGCTGCACTTTGCAGTGGGGAATTATGCAAGTGTAAATAAATACACTTGAGGAACTTCATCAGCATTAATCTGGCAATTAGTGCCCGCTGGGGGCATTCCCAGCTCTCAGGTGACCTCCAAAGGCCCTTTCCACACAAGTTTTCCCTGGGATGGGGTAAAGTTGGTGATTTATCATTTAAACTCCTTTAAATTAGACAAATTGAAGCTAAATAAATGGAGTGGACTGCTGAGTTTGACGGGACAAACCTCGTATTTCTCCCTGAAATCCCACAGGATCCTTCCATCTCTTCCCAACATGATTAACATCTCCAGAGGACTCCCTTAGAAAATAAATGTGTCCAGAACAACTTTATTAAGTGAATTGAAACCCTAGAAAAAGCAGACTAAACTATCTGTACGATTTAAATCCAAATCAAATTAATGAATACATAAAAGTAGCTGAATTAATGTGTAAAAGGACAGCTCTGAGCTGCTACCAGGAATCAGTCAAACTCATGGTTTTTTACTGAAAAAACTGATAATTCTGGAGTGAATTAATAAAAAAAAAAATCACTTTGCTTGCTCAGAAGACAGAAGCTAAACAAGAAAAGAATTACACAAAAAAAAAAAATTCTGTCAAACACAAGTCTGAGCTGTCCCTGGAATTCCCCCAGCCAGAGAAGGGGGAACTTTAATTTTTCCCAATTAAATCCCCGGAAAAAGCAATGAAATTGTGCAGTGCTGACCCTGGGGCAGGTGTGGTTTGTTGTCCCGGCGTGTTTGTCACCATTAAAGTGGCACAGAGGTGTCCCTGTGCTCCGGGACACTCCGGGCTGGTAAATCCCAGATCCCCGCGGAGCTTTTGGCTCGTCCAGAGCCAGGGCTGTGATATCACCAATGGAATGTGCCGAGGGGGAAGGGAAAAGCAAAAAAAAATGTGCTGGGGAGGCCAAAAAAAAAAAAAAAAAAAAAAAAAAAAATTCTCTTTGGGGCGAAATTCACCGCCAGGAAGGGTTTTGCTTTTCGTTCCCCGAGGGTTGAAACGAGATTAGGAATCTTTTTGGAATGTCCCAGCCCAGCACAGCGGCTCCTCAATGATTCCTTCTCTTCCTAATTTGAGCTTTTCATCCCAAAATTTGAGGGCTTTAAGTGCTCCTCAAGCTGGTTTATCCATTCTGAACATTCAGATTTCGTGAAAAATGGACTGATCAAACACAAGCGTCAGCTTAGAACAGTCCCTAAAACAGGGAAAAACCAGAACTGAATCCACTCAAACTCGACCTAGGAATTCAAACCGACCAGAAACACTCAGAGATAATTAGGGATATAAAATTCCAATAAATCCATGCCTTCCAACATGTGCTTTGCCTCAGAAACAAACAGGACTGTGTGATTTGCTAAGAAGATTTATCTGGACCTCAGCAGCCCCAGAACTGAAAGCCTGAAGGAATCAGAACTTTCACTCTTGCAGGATTTTAATGATCAAACTCTCTCCCTTGACAAAGTTCATGTTTGCTCTCCTGAACTAAAGCAAACAAAGCAAAACAGCCAATTAACTGTTAAATTCATCAGCCACGGGAGTTTTATTAAGAAGCGAGCATTGGTACTGCTCCATGGGTTAAACAGCATTTAAAAAGGCATTTAAAGATGTCATTGGCATGGAAAACGAGGAATGAACCGATGACAATTTCCGAAAAAAAACAGCCTTAGCTTGTTTAAAAATAATAAAGTTACACGAGGATAATTCAAACAAGGGGGAGGTAATTAAACTCTTTCAGTGGTGGGAAGAAGGGGAAGCTCCTGTGCACAAATTTCTCAGCTCCACACAAAACCGTGCCAAGAATTTTCAGACATTCCCACCAGGCCCCGGGACATTTTTCCTCCTCAGAGCTGCCAGTCCAGGTTTTACATCTCAAGCCGCAAATGAAGATTCCAAAGGTGTTCAGGGCTGGGAGGTGCAGCAGGCACACACACAGATGTGGTCACTGACACCACGGGAAGGTTTGGAGGTGGCAAAAAACATTTCCTGATGAGATCCTGACAAGGAGGATCCCATTGCCACCTCACAGGGAATTTTTGAAGCTTTACTGAATCCCTGATTTGGAAGGAGCTGAAAGCTCATCCAGTCCCATTCCTGACATCTTCCACTGTCCCAGGTTGCTCCAGCCTGATCTGGGATAATTCCAGGGATGGGGCAGCCACAGCTTCCCCTCACAGGGAAGAATTCCTTCCCAATTTCCAACCTAAACTTGCCACTGTAAAGCCATTAAGCTTCTGAAGCAGCTCTGGTTAAAAGACAACATTGCAGGTGGAAAACGGAAACATTTTAATCCTCATTTCCAGAAGATCCTCACTCAATTTTAAGGAAAACACGGCTGCTACAGGCTTGGCTTTTCCACCTCATCCTTCCAAAACCTGTCTTCCTACAGGAACATTTAAAAAAAAAAAAAATTTTTAAAGCCACATCTCCTCCCCAAGCTGGGACCTCCCACACCAGGCACAACAAAACAAAAAGCTGCTGGAATCAAAGGACTTTTTGGAGGGACAACACCGAGCTGGGATTTATTTGCAGGGGACAGAGACCTGCCTGCAGATTCCACTCCTTCCCAGCAGCGTGGTGGCACCCACGGTGACACAGGGACAGCCCAGCACGTGCACAGCGACACTGAGGACTGAAGCTTTATTTTCATAAAAGTCACAACAACCAAAGCCCTGCTGGGTTCTCTGAACTGCCAAGAGCTTTGTGGGATTCTCACTTGAACCCTGAGCTCTGGGAAAGGTCAGAATTTAAATCGAGCAGAATTTAAACGGAGCAGAGATCTGACAGCGCGGCGAGGCTTCAACTGCAGCACGAACACCCCAAAGTTACAGCACTGACACCCCAAAACCGGGCTCTCACAAACCAAAACCGGGCTCTCACAGCACTGACAGCCCCAAACCGGGCTCTCACAACCCCAAACCGGGCTCTTGCAGCTCTCACAACCCCATACCGAGGATATCTCACCGTTCACGCCCCGCAGCCCCCGCCTCACCCCGCAGCCCCCCAAACGGTCACAACCCCCGGGCTGCCCTCACCGAGAGCCCCCTGAGGGAGCCCCGTACCCCCAGACCCCCCCGGGATGACTCAGCGGCCGCGCCGGGCCCGCCGCCCTCAGCCCCGGGAGCGCCCGGGACGCCGGTGAGAGGCGAGGGCGGCGGCAGCGCGGGGCGCACGGGCTGTGCGCGCTGCCCGGCCTCGGAGCGGCTCCTCCGGCTCCACCCCATCCCCTCGGCCGTGCCCGGAGTTCCCCGAGTCGCGCCCACCCCTCAGGGCCCTCACCCATCGCGGCGGCTGCGACGGCGGCTCCGGTGGTGGCGGCGGCGGCCAAAATATGGCGGCACCGGGCGGGGCGCGGGCGGGACGGCGGCCGCGCGGGGCCAAACCTGTGAGCGCGGAGCGCGGCGGGGCGCGGCCGCGGCGCTCGGGCGCCCCCAGCGAGCGGGGGCGGAACTGCCCCAGCGGTCGTGTCCTGTCACTCGTGTCCTGTCACTCATCTTGTCACTCGTGTCCCACCACTTGTGTCCTGTCACTCGTGTCCCGTCACTCGTGTCCCCTCATTTGTGTCCCACTCTCTTGGCTGCAAGAAGGAAAAGGAGCTGGTGGATCCCAGCATTCCCTCACAAGCAGCATCCCTTAGAAACGGTGCCATGCTCCAAGGAATCCTTGGGATAAAATCCCCCCAGTGCCAGCAGCCCCGTGGTGTGATGGAATCGTGAATATCCCCATTGGAAGGGACTGTTGGATGGTGTTTTCCATCTCTCCACCTTCGTGGGTGATGTGCCAGGCAGAGACAAGCTCTGGGTCACACTCGGTGGTTTTATGGGGTCACTCAGAGCCCTGAAAAGTGGGGGACAGAGTTTGAGGAGCCTAGGGCAGTGAGGGTTCCTTTCCCTCTCCTGAGGGAGATGGGAGGAAAGAAAAATTGTGTCACCTCCACCCTACAGTAAATGAGAACACCCGGGACAGGCAGAGACTCTGAGAACTCCTTTAATTGCTGTTAACTGCAAGTCTGTAAAAGGTTTGGAGAAAGTCATCGTTACAAAACTACCAGCTGTTAGAATTGTTCCTGGTTTGTCACCCCAGCTAGAAAACGCTCAGGGAGATGCGGAATAGTTCAAGAACAGAGAATATTGCACAACCAACCCAACGGTTAATTCGACTAAAGAAGAAAAGAAAGTGACACAGATGCTGCACCCTCGAGCTCTGCTGTGGGATCAGCTGGGACTCGCACCAGCCCCAGGTCCCCACTGGTGTCCCCTGTGTCCCCTGCCCACCATAACCTGAGCCAGGACAAGGCGAGGCTCTGCTGGAGCCACCACGCTCCAGGCAGGGGCAGAGCTGTCCCCAGAGCTTTCACAGGACAGGGATGCTCCCGCCAGGAGTCATCCCAAAAGAAGAAAACCCAACCCCAAAACCCCAAAACTCTTCCAAGTGCACCTCGTTTAGTGCTGTCCAAACCCAGCAGGAAAAGCCCAGCCCCAGTGGAGGGGGCAGGACAAAGGCAGAAAGTGTCACCCCACCACCCCAAAGGCCAGGGAGAGCAGTGAGGACACTGTCCCCTTGGGATAACTGTGCATCAGCAACATCTCGTGTCCTGGCAAGGAAACTGCCCCAAAAAGAGGCCGTGGGGCTGAAGGAAATGTGGCAAGCAGTCACAGGGGCTGAAGTGAAGGAACCCAAGTGAGCACAGCAAAGCTCGTGGTGGCTGCAGGGCCTGGCAAGGGTGGCACAGGAGTCAGATGGGGACACAGCCTCGGCCAGAAGGGAACACCCACATTTGGGAGCCTCTCTCTGCCCAGGCTGGCCAAGCAGAGCTTGAAGTGGTCAGTGGGTCAGGCTGGGCCTTTGCAAGGGCTGAACTGGGCACCAACATGAGGGGTTCTGTTCTCGGGTGACCCAAACCACTGCCAGCCCAGCAGAGCTCGAGTAAGAGCAAGCCGTGAGGATTTTGCTTGGAGAATTTAACTAGAAAGACACAAAACCCAGTGCAGGAAGGTGGTGCAGCTGCAAAGGAGGGGAGCAGCAGGCCTTGGCTCTTCCAGGAACTGCTGGAAACGAGAGTTTCCATGAGAAAAAGCTTCCAAGACAAAAAGCCAGGCAGAAGCTCAGGGTTTGGCAGGGGGTTTGGCTCCTTCCAGGGTCAAAGCCAGGAGCCAAGTGCCTTTTTCTGCAGCACCTGCAGCCCTCAGGCCCTCCCTGGGTGTTGCTTTCCAGGTGGGAATTGCAGAGCAGCGAGCAGAGCAGGCACAGCCACATCCAGGAGCCTCTCAGCTGCAGGTTACACGTGCACACACAAGCAAGGAAGGGAGCCAGCACACCTGGCAGGGCTCTGAGTGCCCAGCTGGCCCCAGGGACCCCTCACTCTGCCTCTTCCCGACACATCAGGGTCACTTTTGGCTTGGCCTGTCTCTAGGACCTATGGAGAAGTCGGGCTCCTGTGTGCCAGTGACCTCCTGCTTCCTCCTCCTGGATCTGAGGGGGTCACTTGAGTTGCCCCCAGGTTTGGAATGGAATTCCTCCAGCCTGGAACTGCAACCCCCAGCACAGTCACACACAAAGGAACAGCCGGTCCGTGATTGAATTCACATTCGATGGTGGAAATGAGCCTGTGACACACACTGGAAGCAGCTGCTTTATTCCCAGTCTTCCCACTCTTCATCTTCCAGCTGCAAACAAGAGGAAATTAATCCCTGAACTGTTTCTGAGCTGTTCTCAACCATTTCTGTAACTTAACAGCTCAAAGCCTGATGTATCCTCACACTCCCACACCTTCCCAACAGGGATTTGCCTGCTCAGTTTCCCAAGCCCACCAGCCCCTCTCTGCTCATGCAGCAGCACCCTGAGGGGTTGGTGATGCTTTTTGGGGGCAGTTTTGTCTCCCCTGACTCACCTCCCCAGACATTTCCACCTTGGACAGTGCCAGCTGCACCTCCTCCTCTGTCATGTCCAGATCAAAGTCCTTTTCCCAGTCCTCGCTGATATCCGTGCTGGAGCCTGGAAGCACAAACATCCTCAATGAGCCACCAGAGCTGGCTCCAAAGGCCTGGAATTCCCAAGGCTCAGAGCTACCACAGCCTGCCTGAGGAGGAAAAGCCTCCACATTCCCATGAAACGGCTCCCTCACAGAGATGGGATGGACTGAGCTTGCTTCCCTCCCAGGCTGGTGCAGAACAAGTGGGAGAGGGGAATGCTGAAACATTTTCTCCTCTGACCTGGGAGAACTGGGATGTGTCAGGTTCCAGTTACACAGGAAGTGCAGCAGATAAGGAATGATAGGAGGGACTCAGAGAGGGGACTGTCATTGTCCCAGCAGGGACAGGCAGAGGGGAGGAATCACCACATTCCCTCCACAGAGCTCAGCCTTTCCTGGCACCCAGGGACCAAAGGCCTGTCCTGCTCAGCCAGCAGACCTTTTTGATTTCTTTCCCCTTCCTCTCCCTCACCCCATAAACCCAGAGCCCTTTCCCCAAGAGCTGCCCCTCCCAGTGGGTTCCAGGCCCCACACAAACCTTTCTTGCCGTTGTTGGAGGGGGTGGATTTGCCACTGTCTGAGTTGAGCTCGAAGACTCGCAGATCTGTGGGCCCTTCCTCTCTCAGAGTCTCTGTCCTGCCCTGGCCTTTGCTCTCCAGCTCTCTGAGCTCTGTTCCAGCTGCTGGCTCTGAGGATGCTGCTGATTCCTTGGCAGGTGCAGAAGGCTGAGCAGCTTCTGGGGGTTTTGGCAGGGAGCTCTGCTCTTCCAAGGTGGCCTCCACCAGCCTCTGGGAGAGGTCCCCGGTGCCCACGGGAGGAGCTGCAGTCTGTAGCTGGGTGGCAGGCACAGGGGCAGGGTTTGCAATCTGAGTCACAAGGGACACGCTCTCGCTGCTCTCTGAGGGGCTCTGCTCCACTGGGACCAGCTCTGGGGGCAGCACAGCACAGCTCTCCCCAGAGGGAGCAGCGGGGTGGGTTCCCTCCGGGGCTGCCGGGGTGGGCTCTTTCTGTGCTGCTCCTGGAAATGTGATGTTTGCACAAGGCAGGGGGGACATCCCCAAGAACTCCTCTGTAGGGAGGCAGAAGAGAAGTGAGAGATGTTTCAGCAAGTGCAGCAGCAGCTGGGCTGGGAGCTGGATTTCACAGAATCACAGAATGTCCTGAGCTGGGCAGGACCCACAGGGATCATCCAGTCCAACCCCTGGCCCTGCACAGACATCCCAACAATCCCACCCGTGCATCCCTGGGTTGTTCTGGAGCTCTGGAAGCTTTGGGGCTGTGCCCATTCCCTGGGGAGCCTGGGCAGTGCCCCAGCACCCTCAGGGTGAAGAGAATTTCCCTGATATCCAACCTAACACACCCTGACACAGCTCCAGGCATTCCCTCGGATCCCATCACTGGTCACAGAGCAGAGATTAGAGCTGCCCCTTCACCGCCCATTGTGATTTGTAAGAGTGAGGAGGAGCCACCACCCCACAACAAGTTCTCCACAAAGCCTCCCAGAGCCCCAAAACCTGTCCCACCTTCATCCTCCTCCCAGCCTGGCTCCTCTTGGTGCATGCTCTGCTCTGCTCGCTGCTTCAGAGCCTCCCTGCGGGCTTCATCCTGCAGGGAATTCAACATCAGCAGCCACTCACATCCCCCACCCCCCTTCTTCCCCCTGGCATTTCAGCATCACTGACTCCAAGGATCCAGCCCAGATCCCTGTTTTCCCAGGAAAACACCCCCAGGGAGCCCCCCAGCCTGACCCACCTGCTCCAGGCGATGCAATTTGTAGAAGTAGCGCTGCCAGAACTCCAAGTGGGAAACGGCCACAGGGACCTGGGAAAGGAATCAGGGAAAGGGATGAGCCCCTCAGAGGGAGAGCTGCAGCTGCTGCCATGCCCCTCTCTCCTCCCAAAGCTTGCAGCTCCCGTTTTACTGCAACCATTTTTCCATAGTTCACCACGGCTGTTTCCATTGCAGCTGCAGGGGACAGACAAACAGCTCAGGGATTTCCTGCAGCATTCCCCAAGTCAGGAATTGCCCAGGCAGGGTCTCACCATTTTGGTGTAGAGTGCCCTGATGGAAGGGCTGATTGCCAGCAGCTCTGCAATCTCCCCTTTCTTCTCCTCCAGGTTGAACTGAGCGAGCCAGGCCTCGAGCAGCTCAGCAGGGCCTGTTTGGGACAAGCACAGGGATGAAAAACCTTGGCACAAACCAGAGTTTGGGCAAGTTTTATTGAAGAGATGCTGGGGCAAAGGAGGAGGAAGACACAGACCCCCCTAGGGGCAGCACCCTGGACCCCCTGCACCCTCCCATACCATCAGGCTCGTTGCAGTAGGTGGCTGGGTCGGACTGGAGGCTGTAGAGACGAGCCTGGAGGAGACACACAGGGACAGCTGTCAGGGGAGGGACAGCAGCAGAGCCAGGGGACAGGGCTCGGGATGTCACATCCCAGAATGAGACACTCACCTTGGCACTGTCATAGGGCTCAGTGGTTCCTGAGGGTGTTGCCATCAGTGTGATAACGTCACAGTCAATGGTCTTGTCCGGGGAGGGGGCAAAGGTGTCCGAGATGACCCCCAGGAAGTCAGAGAGCCCCTTCCTCACCTTCTCAGTGGCACCTGAGGAGCCTTCTGCCCTCTTCAAGGCAAGAGGCAGCACAGTGTCAGCAACATCCCAGAATTTCTGGGCAGGATCCTTAAGGAAGAAGGATCTCTCCCTCTGGGAAAGTGCTATGGAGGAGGCAGGGCTGGAGGGGTGTGGTGAGAGGCACCTGCCTCGGGGGGGGGAGAACTGAGCTGAGGCTTTGTGGGAAGGACACTGCCAGGTTTGGGGTGGGACTGTCCCAGCAGGGCTGAGGCTGACAGCTCGTGTGGCGAGCCCATGTCACCCTACAGTGACACTGCCACTGTCCCCCCTGCTCAGCACAGTGCAGAGGCAACCACAGGAGGCTTCCTGTGCTCATCCACAAGGGCACAGAGGGACAGGACAAGGGGGAATGGCCTGCAGCTGAAGGAAAGTGGGGTTAGATGGCTATTGGGAAGGAATTCTTCCCTGTGAGGGTGGTGGGATGCAATTCCCAGAGAAGCTGTGGCATCCCTGGGAATTATCCCAGGCCAGGCTGGACGGGGCTTGGAGCACCCTTGGGATGGTGGAAGGTGTCCCTGCCCATGGCAGGGGTGGCACTGGATGATTTTGAAGCTCTCCCAGCCCCTACTCACTGCCAGCTTGTCCTTGACCACGCTGGCCGTGGCGGCGATGGTGCAGGCGGTGTCGTGCTGCACCACCTGGGTGAACTCAGCCAGGTCCCTCTTCATGAATTCCAGAGCCTCTGTGGACTGCAAGGACACAGCAGATGGATCCTCCAAGCTTTTGGTTCCCCAACAAAGCCGTGGTTGCTCCCAGCACGTTACAAAAACTCAAGTGGGAGAGTTTAGCCCAGCTGAGCCCTCACCCCAACCTGGGCAATGTGTAAAACCAGAATAACCTGAATAACAACAGCACCTGCTATGCCCAAAACACATTCCAGGTTTTGTGCCAAGACTAGAAAAAAGACAGGTTGGGAAAAGCTGAGTTTAAGTTTTGTGTATAATTAACACAAGCAATGCCGTCTCAGGCAGGAAATTACACACCACAAAGCCATGCTGGAAGCACAACCCCCTCTGCTCAGAGGGTGATTTTCACATGACAGAGCCCAACATGACCCAGAATTCGCTCAGCCAGAAGATCCCCAACAAATCCATCCCAATCCTGCTTTGGGGAGACCCTCCCGGGCTGTGCTCCAGCCCCGCGGCCTCGCTGGGCTCCCGGCGACTCCCCGCAGGTCCCGCCTGACCCCGGTCCCGCCCGATCCCGGTCCCAGCGGGTTCCCACCTTCTCCTTGACGGCCTGGTAGCTCTGCTGGAGCCAGCTCCGCCACCAGCCCCCGTCCTCCCTGCGCGGGACAGGACACGGCGTCAGGACACGGCCACACAAACACAAATCCAGACCCAGATCCCAGATCCCAACCCCAGACCTAGAGCGCAGATCCGGATCCGAGATTCCGATTCCAGATCCGAGATCCCGAACCCACACACAGATCCCAGAGCTCCGATCCTGAACACACAGCCCAGATCCCGATCGCCGATCTCAGCCCCAGATCCAGACTCTGATCCCAGATCCCAGACCCAGACCCCGACCGCAGATCCCAGAGCCCGATCCTGATCCCAGATCCCAACACCAGACTCAGATCCAGACCCAGGTCCTAATCCCAGATCCCAACCTCAGACCCCAGATCCCAACCCCAGACCTAGATCCAGACCTACATGCAGATCCAGACCCCGATCCCAGATCCCACCCCCAAACCGCAGCCCGCTGCCCGGTTCCCTCTCGCCGCCCTCCATCCCCATCGCGGTCCCGGTCCCGTTCCCGTCACCCCTCCCGGTCCCGCCGCCCCCCGGCCGCGCTCCGCTCACCCCTCCGCCATCTTGGCGGTGTGACGTCACCAATATTTACCGACCCCTCACCCCGCGGGCCCTGCCCCGGAGCCGGGCCCCTCTGACGTCACTTCCTGCCCCGCCCGCTCCCGGGTACGGTGGCCGGGCGGGACCGGGAGCGGGGCCGGGCGGAGGTGAGCGATGAGCACCGAGCGCTCCTCTGGGCGGGCGGGGACGCGTTCCGGGGCACCCCGCGACCGGGCAGGGCGGTGCTTAGAGCAGGGAGGGGTCCCGGTACCGGGCAGGACGGTCCTTGGCGTTCCGGGAGATGCTGCCACCGGGAGGTCGGTCCTTGGCGCGGCGGGGCATCCCGGCAGCGGGCAGGGGGATGCTGGTCTGGGAAGGACGGTCCTTGGTGTTTCGGGACATCCGCTGGGTACCGGGCGGGACGGTGCTTGGAGGGGTGTGACACCCCCGGTACCGGGCAGGACGGACCTGCATGTGATGTGAGACTGCTGGTACCGGGCAGAACGGAGACGCGGTACCGGGCGGGACGGTCCTTGGGAAGGTGTAGAACCCCGGTACCGAGCCGGACGGACTCCCGGGATTCGGGCAGGACGATCCTTGCTGGTGTCTCCGGAGCGCTGTCCCGGTGTCCCCGCAGCGCTGGGAGGGGATGGCAGTGGCGGTGCCCCCTCGGTCCCGGTGCCCCCTCGGTCCCGGTGTCCCCACAGTCCCGATGCCCCCTCGGTCCCGGTGCCCCCTCGGTCCCGGTGTCCCCACAGTCCCGGTGCCCCCTCAGTCCCGATGCCCCCTCGGTCCCGGTGTCCCCTCGGTCCCGGTGTCCCCACGGTCCCGGTGTCCCCACGGTCCCGGTGTCCGCTCGGTCCCGGTGTCCCCGCGGTGCTGACGGCTCTCTCTGTTCCCGGCACAGCCATGGAGGTGCAGTCCTACTACACCAAACTGCTGGGGGAGCTGAACGAGCAGCGCAAGCGGGATTTCTTCTGCGACTGCAGCATCATCGTGGAGGGCAGGATCTTCAAAGCCCACAAGAACATCCTGTTCGCCAACAGCGGCTACTTCCGAGCGCTGCTCATCCACTACATCCAGGACAGCGGCCGGCACAGCACGGCCTCGCTGGACATCGTCACCTCCGAGGCTTTCTCCATCATCCTGGATTTCCTCTACTCCGGGAAGCTGGATCTGTGTGGGGAGAACGTGATCGAGGTGATGTCGGCCGCCAGCTACCTGCAGATGACCGACGTGGTCAACTTCTGCAAAACCTACATCAGGTCCTCCTTGGATATCTGCAGGAAAATCGAGAGGGAAGCAGCTTTTTACCAGGCTGACAGCGGGAGCTCAGCCAGGGAAGGCACCTCGTGCTCCAAGAGCTCGGCCTCCGTGTCCTCCCTGCAGGAGAAGGAGAGGATCCCGGAATGCCAGCGGGACCCTCCCTGTGGGGACTGCAGCAGCTGCCACCCCCTGGAGCTGGTGGCCCGGGACCCTCTGAGCAGCGACTCCCCTGATGGCTCCTCGCTGCCCAAAGGGGTGGAACCCAAGGTGGAGTTTGACCCCGATGAGGTGGAGGTGGAGGTGGGCGAGCGTTTGCCGCAGTTCCCCGCGCCGCTGTCGCTGGAGCAGATGGAAGAGGGGCAGCCCGTGGAGCTGGCCTGCAATAATTACCACATGAAGCAATTCCTGGAGGCTCTGCTGCGAAACAGCTCGGCCCCGAGGAAGGAGGACGTGGTGCATCACTTTGTCCGGGGATTTGAGGGTAGGGCTGAGGATGCAGGAGTAGCCATGAGCTCCATGATGGACATTCACAGCGACTGGTATGGTGAGGACACAGGTGAGAGGACTCGGGGGGTGCAGGCTGTGCACTGGAGGAGGGAACAGCTTTGTTACTCTTGTTCGAGAATATTTTGCTGAAATATTTTGGCACGGTGAAATAAACTCTTGTTGTGCACTTTTAAAGCAGCTGTACTCGTTTGTTTGGTGCAGCCTGTGGCAGGTGAGTATTTCCTTTGGAGCAGCAGGTGCAGCTCCCAAATCACCCCCCAAACTCCACTTGGGGTGATTCTTCTTTAATAAACAAACTCACTGAACGGCAGGTGCGTTTTTAAAAAGAATTTTTCCCTCCTGGTGGTCATAAAGACAAATCCAAGAGGAGCTGAGCTGCCACAGGAGGGATCTGGTTCAGCAGGAGGAGCTCATCCCATCACAGCTCCTGCCAGTGCTGCTCTGTTTGCTCCTGCTTGGAACTTCAGAGGGCAGGAATCACTTTTATCCAACACTGAGGAATTCCTACAAGTCCTTTAGGAGCACTGAAAGCTTTCAACTCTGTGGTGTAGCATAAAGATGAGGCTTTTTTTTTCACTTTTCAGCTGCCCTGAGCCCAGCACCAGTTGGAATATCTCAGGAATATTTCCTGGCAGAGTTGTCAGGCACCTGGAGAAGAAGGAAAGCATGCCCACGTGCATTTCTCCTGATGTGGACAATAAAGATTTGGTCATTTTATCAGGGTTTTGATAAGTGCTTTGTGAGGACAGGAGGTGGCTGTGACAAACTGTGAGTGCCACAGGTGCTGAGGATGTGACAAATGCCACAGGGCTGGCACTGACTGCAGCCAGCAAATTTATTTTCATGTCATCTCCAGCTCAAGCTGCCTGGGTGACTTTAAAGCCAATAAAAGTGACAAATCCTCTCCCTGCTTTCAAGCAGGGCACTGATAAAATCACAAATCCGGGGTTTTACTCTCAGCACTCACGCTGGTGCTTTTTGACATGTGGCAAGGCAAGAACATCCAACACACAAATTTCACTTCCCTTTTCTCTCTCTCAACATCTCCAGGCTGTTCATGAATCATTAAAAAGGAAATGCTTCCAGGATTTGATAGGGAACATCAGGAGTCCTGACAATATATCAGAAATGTTAGTGGGAGATGGGTTTTGAGTGGGAGTGAGGGAAAAGAAACCAAACCTTCCATTCCTTCTGTTTCTGTGCTAAAACAGGATTTTGTAGCAGTGAGGAGAGTGGGAGTTTCTCAGCTTTCAGTGGTTCTGCTACCTCAGATTCTTCACAAGGCACCAGAAATGAGAAATAAACCAAGTCCTGATAAAAGAGTGGTGCACTCAGGTTAAGAGGTGAGATAAATATCACTTCTTTTCAAGTGATGTTCCAGTCATCCTTCACAGCTGAAGGAGGGGAAACAGGCACCTGTGGAGCACTGGAAGCAAGGCAGCACTAAGAACTGGGTTGGTTGGAGTTTTAACGAAGCTCTAAATGCCCAGCAGGGATTTGCAATCCCTTGGGAAGCTCCCAAAATGGGCTGAGCTCTCACATCATTAACAGCAGACACACCTTTTTTGATAGGGGGTTGGATAAACCTTTACACAAAGGATGCTCTGCAGCTTCACCTGCTTGACACACAAAACGTTTCCCTGAATCAGGGCCTGGAACAGGGAAAATTAATCCTTTGGCATCACATCTCCACTTTTCTGGAAGGGAAGTTGGGCTGGTGCTGAAAAACTTAGCAGTGCTCATGTTTCTGTAAAATAAGATCTTCAAATTTAATTCTGTTCTTGCATCTGACTCCATAAATTTGTGGTTTGGTTTTAGGAACAGTAAAATATTGTCAGGAAATACATTGGAGTCCTTCATCTCCTTATTCCCAACAGGAAGGCAGTAGAAAGAAAGAGTCATATTTTCATATTTAAATATGAAAGCACACGGACAAAATGTGCTATTCTTGCCTGCAGTTTGTGTTAAAGCTTTTAGTTTCTGATGCTGTTTAATGCTAATGGTTTAATAATTAAAAGAAAGGAAGTGGCTGAGATGGAGCAGAGACCCCACTTCACTTAAAGCAGATTTTTGGTATTTAATTAAAAGACTTCCTGAAATAAAACGGATGTTTTGCTGTGATGAACAACAGACTGGCTGATTTTCCAGGGCACTGCATCTGCATGAATTCTACAATGGCACAAACTGAGCAAACCCCAGGTAAGAGAGGAGAGGAGAGAAAATCAGCGCAGCTCTCACCTCAAATTTACAACGAGTGGGACGAGCAGCATCACTCAGAAGGTGCCTGAGCTAACCCAGAATATTTTTACCCTCAAGGTGACGTGCTGGTGGTGCCCATCAAGCTGCACAAGTGCCCTTTCTGCCCCTACACGGCCAAGCAGAAGGGGATCCTCAAGCGCCACATCCGCTCGCACACCGGGGAGCGGCCGTACCCCTGCGACACCTGCGGGAAACGCTTCACCCGCCAGGAGCACCTGCGCAGCCACGCCCTCAGCGTGAGTCCCCGGGGCTTGAACCCACCTGGGAAATTCAGAGCACGGCTTGTCTTGGTGTTTTCAAGTTGTTTTTTCCCGTAGGGAGTGAGTGTTGTGGATGAGAGAGGTTTTTTCGGGTTCGTTGTTTTGGATTGTTGGTGTTTCGGCTGAGCTGGGGGATAAGGATTTGGGTGTTTTGTTCTTTCAGTTTGTTAGATTGGAGTTTGGGAAGGAATTCTGCTCTGTGAGGGTGGTGAGGTTGTGGATTCCTCATTGCTGGAAGTGTTCCAGGCCAGGTTGGACAAAGCTTGGGATAATGGAAGATAGCTATGGGCTGGACAAGCTCTAAGTCCCTTCCAACCCAAACCATTCCCTGATTTCATGATTGTCACACTTGGGTAGCCCGAATTTTTGTGGCCAGAATCACAATGGGATCCCTTCAGCTGAAGTGTGGCTGTTTCCCTGTTCTGCCAATCTCTCCAAACCACCAAATTGCATTTTTTTCCCCCAAGTTTTCCCTGCAGGTGCATCACTCCAACAAGCCCATCATCAGCAAGGGCTGCAGGAGAACCTTCACCAACAGCCTGTCCCAGGGATGTTTTATCTTCCCAGTCTGTTAAATTCGATTCTGGGAAGGAATTCTGCCCTGTGAGGGTGGTGAGGTTGTGAATTCCCCATTGCTGGAAGTGTCCCAGGCCAGGTTTGCAACAACCTGGAATTGTGGAAGGTGTCCATGGGCTGGACAAGCTCTAAGTCCTTTCCAACCCAAACCATTCCATGATCCTTGCACCTGGGCAGCCCAAATCTTTGTGACCAGAATCACGACATCACCCCTTCACCTGAAGTGTGGCTGCTTCCCTATTCTGCCAATCTCTCCAAACCACAAAACCGCATTTTTTTTTTCTCCAAATTTTCTCTTTTCCCTGCAGGTTCATCGCTCCAACAAGCCCATCATCTGCAAGGGCTGCAGGAGAACCTTCACCAACAGCCTGTCCCAGGGGCTGCGGCGCTTCGGGCTCTGTGACAGCTGCACTTGTGTCACCACCACCCACGAGGACTCCGTGCCCATCAACCTCAGCCTCGTGGAAACGGCCTCAGAAGGGCAGGAAAAAGGAGATGCTGACAACGATTGGCCCATCTACGTGGAGTCTGGAGAGGAAAATGAGCCGGCTGAGGATGACGATGGCGATGACAAGCAGGAAATCCACCGGAGTTTGTCGGACAAAGAAACTTTGATGTAGCAGTGAGAGGAGAGGGGGAGCACTCAGAGGTTCCCTGGCAGAAAACTGCACATTTTTCTCCATCAGTGACACTGTGCTGGTTTTTATTATTCTGGTTTTTTGTTGTTTTTTTTTTTTTTTTTAAATTAAATTGCGGGGAGAATTGGAATTTTTAATACTTTTTAAGTTTTTCAGTGCTGTGCACCAGAAATCTGGGAAGAATTTTCTGGCTGGGGCTCCCAGAGGTTGGACTTGAGCAGTTTCTCTGCCTCCTGGTTTTGGTTTTGCAGGTGGAATACCCCTGGGTTGTTTTGGGGACAGGTTTCTTCAAATAATGAGTCATGGTCCTTAACCCCTGATCTGAAAGGGGCACCACCTTTTCTCTGAAAATGACATTAAATGGGGTTTGCATCTCTTACCTTGGGACTTTTCCAAGCTAATCTGTGATCCTTCTGTCTTAGGACAGTGTTTTCTAAATTATGAACCATAAATGTTTGCTGAGACTGGATTTGACCTGGAAACCAGGGCAGAAAAACCAGGATAAAAAAAAAAAAAAAAACAAACAAAAAAACAAACAACAAAAATATGCTGCTGAAAGGACAGACAGGAAGAATAAATCTATTTCACATAATTAATGGCAGGAATTTAGAGATCAATCTTCTTTCTGAATTTTTACTGCATCCTCCTCTCCTAAGAGCTGTAGTCTTTAATGTCACTCACATATCAGTAGTCTTGGCTGAAATATTAAGCACAAATAATGGTGTTTTAGTGGCCAGGACTAAGAGAAAAGCCCAAATTCTTTTCAGTTTTTTAAAACAGGAGTGAAAAGCTGTCAAGCAGGTTCCTTGGGAATTCTGACTGTGGCAGATTGAATTACCACATGCACACCTGCTGTAGCTGAGGAGCAGTGAAATATCTGAGCTATGCTATAAAACAGCTCTGAATGTCCTTTTGGAATCCTTTTCTTTCTCTTTTACTGTAATTTCTTTTAGAATTTGGGGATCCTCTCATAGTTTATGTTTTGTGGTTTTATCCAGTATTTTTTTTTTTTTTTTAAACCTCCACTGTGGACCTCCTATTTCTTTGCTGGGGCACCTAAAGGTTTTCAAAGGAGGTGAGAATTTGTCACCTTTCCAGCAGCAAGTTTTTAAGAGCTATGAACACTCAGGCTGGGAATCTTTAGAAGAAAACCCAGCACCACCAGAGCCTGTTTGCTTAGGGGTGACCTCCTGCTCCCTGACAAAGGGAAAAAAACTGAATTATACTGTGAAATAAGACTGTTAATGCTTCTTCACTCTGCTGTTCCTAAGTGTTTCATGAAAAGGCAAATTTGATAAATCTTTCTGGCTGGAGCAGAATTCTGTAGACAGATTTGGCTGACAAAGAGTGAGCAGTTCCTCCCACTTGGTGCTTTTTCCTAAGGGTTTTGGTGTAAAGATTTTCCACTTGGCAAACCTAAAAAACCCAAGAGCCCCCTGATTTAAGCAGGGTTTTTTACACGTTGAAAAAGAGCAATTCAGCTTTTCCCTCTGCTTCATCCAGCAGTGAAACAGTCCCACTGTCGTGACAGATTTATTTTTGAAAGGTGATTCTGCTCTCACAAATGCAGGCAAGGGTTCATTGCCACACCAAGGTAGGATGAGGAAAGAAGAAACAAAGTTCTTTTCAAAGAATTCACTTTATTGGTGGCTGCTGAAAAGAGCAGAAGGTGAAGAGACTTCTTTTGGAGTGGTCTGCTCTGAGTTCTCGATGAGTGTCACCACATCATGTGCAGGTTTAATTTTCTGTCTCTGAATTTGGGTGAGTTTCAGTCATCTCTGTTCCAAGTCAGTTGGAAATTTGAGTTTCTAGGAGCTGGAACACAGGACAGGAATTCACAAAATTCCCTGCTCCAGAGCCCCTGTTTTAGTCAATCTGAATTAAGGGACAACTCAGGGAGGTGCCACCTTTGGAGTTGAGCTCCTCTGATAATCCTGCCGTGGTTTTGGCTCCTTGGTGCTCTTGAAAACCTGAGCAAAATGTGGGGCTTGTAAATCTGTTTGGAAAATCCCCTTTCCAGCCTCCCAGGGCTTGTCTTTTGGGCTGCTGGATTTTTTGATGAATCCACCCAAACCCAAAGGGTGATGAAGGTGATAAATGAGGGACTTTCTGCCTTGAGAGCTGTGGGATAATCTGAGGGTTTTTTTGGTTTTTTTTTGCTGATGGAAGTGGGGCAGGAATATAAATAGGGATCTAATTAATATTTAATGACCAGAGCTCTGGTCATGAAGATTCCACCTCATTGTAAATATTGGTAGAAGCCACTAGAGCTGGAATATCAGCTGAGCTTGGTTCTTGGCTCGTGCTTGGAGTGGCTGAGCTGACTCTGAGCCCGTGGAGACTCTTGGAGCAGGGAAAATGAACCTTGCAGGAATGGCTGCAGAGACTTTTTCCTTCAGCCTTTGGTCTTAGAGATTGTCCTTGTGTGTTCGTGCCTAGAGAGTGGAGCTGTCAGGGGGCCGGGGAGGGGGGGAGGCTTTTCCACAGGGAAAATCCCCCCCAAACTCGGTGTTTCCCCGTTCAATTGTCATTTTGTGCTGCTTCGTTTTGTTTTTCTGTGGAGTCTTTTCAGCCTTTGGATGTAGAAGAGGATGGAATTTATCCACGTTCTTGTGACTGGGGTGTTCCTGTAAATCCGTTTGCTTGTGCTTTCCACTTTGTTTTCTGGATGTTTTCTCCTGAAATCTTCCATTTGTAGATCAAGCCTCTCCAAGCTTTGAGAAAAAATGATGTTGCCTGTGTAAAAACCTTCCCGTGGTGCTTGATGAAAAATCAAAAATCATGTTTTTAGGGGACTTATTTCTAATAGAATCTCTTTCTCAAAGGTTTTTAAAGGCTGTGAAGACAACATATCTTCAAACTTAGCTCGTTGTACTTGACTTCGTTTAGGAATACACATTTTAATGTCTTTTTTTTTTTTTTTTTTGCACAGAAATGCACTGTATTTCACTGAAGGAATACATGCTGCACTGGTATTTGTAGTGCATTTAACCTCTTGGTGCAAAGCCCTTGTAAATCTTCCAAATGTGGTCGTTGAATTTCCTGATGTTTTGTAAGACAGTTTCATAACCCAAGTCCTTTAGTCCAGTAATGATGACAAATTCTTATAAACTGAATCTTATTTGTGGAAGTGACTCAACTATATTTGTGGATCTTGGAGCATTCTGGAGTTTTTTGGTTTTTTTTTTTTATTGTCTAGAAAATAAAACTCTCTGAGAGGGTTGCTTTGATTTTTTTACCATTCAAATGTTGACTGAGTAAACCTGAGAGTGTTTAGATTGAGGCCTCACGTTTCGATTTTCTGGCATTAAAATTAAATAATTAATATTTCTATTTAATTAACTGGATTTAAAAATTAATGTATCCACTTTTGGGGACAGCTAGTTTGCAAGAAAAATCAGTTTTTTGGAAGGAAAGGACTAAAAGGATCCTATTCATTTAAACCCCAGCCAAGTGAGAATTTTAGAAAATCTTTTATTTTAGTAACACTGACTCGGTTTTTTTTAACAGTCTTTGTAGTTTGATGTTAATTCAACTTTTAAAACTCCTTTTAAAACTTCTCATTTTTCTTTTTGGGAAGCAGAAAGTGATCCCAGCTAGGAGGAAATGCTTGGGATGGGGAGAACAGCATCTTAAATATCCTTTCCAGAAAATTTTGACTTTTATTAAATATTTCACAAAAAAATCTTGCTGCAAGCACACAGATTTTAATTTTATTTTTTTTTTCCCGATGAAAGATGTGAGATGCTGAAGAACTCAGAGGGGATGAGGGTGGTTATGGTGAAAAGGATTCTTTGTGGGGGAGGAGGAGAGCAGGGAAGTCCAGAAGGTGTCAAAGAATTGGGGAATGATTTGGGGAAAATCGTTTGGATCTGGCCCTAAATCATCAACGTGAGCTGTATGAAAATCCAGATTTGAGTCCAATTTTTGTCCATTTTGGGATATTTGGCTATTCTAGGAAAATGGGTGAAGAAAAGGTTTTAATGAAGATTTTAATTGTCCTGCTTGAATAGGGTTAGGAATTGGGATTCCACCAAATCTCAGATTTTTCCTAAATTATTGGATGTTGCTGCCAGAGGGAAGATTCCTCTCTGGACTCAGGGGTTTAGGTCAGGACATTCTGATTTCCTGCTCATTTTGAAAAAGGAAGAGATCTCCTGGTGCCCTGGAGGTTCCATGGGATTGGGATTTGTACTCAGAAATTGGGATTTGTGCTCAGAAATTGGGATTTGTTCTCAGAAATTGGGATTTGGACTCAGAAATTGGGATTTGGACTCAGAAATTGGGATTTGTGCTTAAACACGAAGGTGGAGCTCAAATCCTGACTGATTTTACTCTCCTGGTTTGGTCCTTGGCAAAGCTGAGGACAGGACTGATGATGCAAATGAAAAAAAAAACCCAAATCCAAGCTGGCAGTGATCACATGAAAATTGTAATCTCAATCCTAATTAATTTCTAGGCTTTGAACAGTTCCTTAAGTTGTTTTAGTGTAGGCTCTGGAGTTTTTCATTGGTAAAAAATATCCCTGGATAATTAAAGTTAGAAAATGCACCATCACTGAAGGCTGTGATTCCTGAGGAACATTTATTTTGAGGAAAACGGAAATATTTTAACTGGTGCCACTGTTAATTAAACTATTATAATATAATACACCACACCATTATATATTATTACTGTTAATCCTATTTAGTTAGGAAATCCAAGGAGAAATGTATGTTTTTAATTTCAATTTAATTTCAATTTAATTTTTCTATGAGCAAGAAAAATGTAATTTTTTTTTTTTTTTTTAGTGTCATTATTCTCTGAAATGCAGACTCTTTACACTCAGGCTGTGAGGAGCAGCTCCTTCACCTCCTTCACACAGCTGCCAAGCACATTCCCTCTGGATAAACTCTCCAAACACCATCTCAAGTGGAACTTTCTCAGCTGAAATTGGCTCTAAAATTTAGAAACACCAAAAAAAAAAAACAAAAAAAAATCTCTCTGCATGTCTGGGATTGTTTGGGATGCATTCAATGTGCACAACAGGATGAAATCAGCCCCAATGGATGAGAAAATCCGAGTTTGTTGTGTGGCTTTTCCTGGACCCACAGCACAGAGCAGTGAGCAGGAAATGCTCTGAGGAAAGCACTTGTAGCATCTTTAAAAATTCTAATTAAGCTACTCTAGATATCACTGAATTTTTCCCCCGTATTTTTGAAATTCTCTTGCCTGTTCCTGGCACATGGAGAACCCTCGAGCTCCTGTTGACATTGATACAAAGCCCCACTGACAGAAGAGTGAAAGCACCACCCAGGCAAGTCAAACAGAACAAATACCTCCAGATAATTCTTCTCCCAAAGGAAGCTTTCAGCTGATGAAATAATTTGGGCAGAAATGTGGAAAAAAAATAAGTGGAATATTGAGCAACAAGGTGTCCCTACCCGTGGTCTTTAAGGTTCTTTCCTGCCCAAATCATCCTGGGATTCTGTGATTCCATGTTAAATAAAAAGAGATGCTACTTAGTTGGCAATGACAGGCAAAAATAAACTTGAAAGGGATGAATTCAAGATATATTAAAACCTGATACTACAAATAAATGTTCTGGTTTATATTAAACAATCTGATTGTATTCTTTATTTCTCAGTGGTAAGAACTGCTGTGAATTCCAGTTGTTCAATGTTAAAAAAAATGATTAATTTAGAGCAGAATCTCACAGAAGCAGAACGGGTCTCATGAAGATTTAAGAGCCTGGCCTGGGTTTGAAAGGAGAATCTACAAAACTAAAAAAGTTTATGAAAAAGGAGGAATTAAGCTGGGAAAGAATATTGTTAGATATACATCTATATATACAAAATGTGAATGGGTATAGTTTGAAGTTGAATAAATGTATATGAATAGTGGGGGAATGGTTTTGATGATTAAAGGCGAGAGTGTTTGGATTGAATCTTTTAGGTAAAATCTTGAGTAAATTTGCTACGCTGAAGAAAGAAAGAGAAATTGTTTCAAGGTGGAACGTCTGAAGTTAGAGAAGGCCAAAAAGGCCACAAAGGGCTCGGTTAAGGAAGAACGGTTTCCATGGGAAAATAAATATTTATGAAAAATAACTGGGGCGTCAAAATCACAGAAAAGACCCTGGTGGTAAGAAGAGGAAGGAGAAAGATACTAAACTTGGAGGGAGAGAAGGTGAGAGGTCCAGGTTTCACTTCAGAAGATAACAGCTACCAACAGAGAAAAGAAGATGTCACATCTCCTTTGGAGGACGCTGCAAGGGAAGGATTTGGGTCATGGAGGCCTTTGCTGTAGATAAAGGTGTGAAAAGGAGGCATCTGGGGCATCCCATCCCCTCCCGGGCCAGCATGTGGGTGTGGGAAGCGGCGAGCGGCGGCGGCCGCGGGGCGCTGGGGCCGAGGCAGGCGCTGGGCTGCGGCTGCGATCGCTGCGT